ACGTGTTTTACTTGCGTAGTACTTATGAGTAAAATACTTTATTTGTTCATTGTACTATGTGAAAATCATGTCATGTTTATATTTTACATTCATGATAATATTAGTATAATCATGCTAACAAGTTCAATAAGATTCTTGTCATGTTTATGTTGTGATTAATTAATTATATGTTGTAAACCTTGTTCATTTTACTATTTATAACATTTCAACTAACCATTACTACAAAGATTAGTGCAAACTTTCAGATGAGATAATGCTACGATAGGTAACAATCTTAAGCTATAAGACTCGTCAACAAGTAATTTTAATACTTATAAATACCCACTAACAATGAGAATTTTTACATATTGATTTTTTATTAATTAGCTTACCTCGACACGTGTTTATTTTCTATTAAAGATTTCCACGTTATATTTTATTATTATTATTATTATTATTATTATTATTATTATTATTATTATTATTATTAATCACTACTTATTTTTTTCCAAATCAATAACGTTTATGAAATAGAAATATTTTAGAAATTGTAGCTGTTTTAAATCCTCAAAACAATAAAGAAATAGAAAAATAATTACGAAAATTGAATCTTGACAATTCAATATGAGAACATGATTTAAAGTTGTAGAGATTACAAAACGTATACATGTGTGATGCCATATAGAACTTTTGCTAATAAAGTGAGATAATTTAGCCCCCGTTTTGGTGTAGATTAAGTCAAATTGAATAATTAATTTCAACTACATATTTATGAGACACACAACTTTACAATCGTATAATCTACTTTTAATCCCTACCAAACAATGACTTAATATGTACATGATAATGATATGGGTGTATTTGAGTTACATTATTTTGGAAGAATGTATTTTGGAATCGTAGATTGATGGAGAATGTTTGGTTGAAAAAAAAGGAAAAATTATTGATATGATAGAAAATATTATTTTATTGAAGGATATGTGGTTGAAAATGAGTAGAAGAATGATAATGAGAATTATAATGTGGCTCAAACATGGGCATAATGTTCACTTCATATGTGAGTTTAATTATTCGATTACATGTACATGTTTCGGGGACGAATTTATCTATTTAACGGGTAGGCTGGCTCCAAAAGGTTTACCACACTTAATTATTTGAGTGACACGAGTCAAGATTGATGTCAAATGGAATTTTAATCAAGTTTACATGGGAAAACGGAAGCGAATTCAAATTGATAAATTCGATTCAAGTGGCTGAGTTTGAATAGTTATTTTTAGTCTCCATTTGGTTCAGCTAAAAAAATGAATTAAAATTGAAGTCAAAATTACTAATTAATTTTAACAATACATTTCATGAGATTTACAATTTTTCAATCATATATTTCATTAACCTTTATCAAAATTTATTTAAAATCTGATATTTATGTAGACCAAATAATGGTTTAATATATTGGTTTACCATCAAGTATTAGGCCCGTTTGGGTCTACAAATTCAATCAAAGTGAAATATTAATTTTAACTAAACATATATAACTGCTACTTATTATTATCTACATATTTTGTGGATCTTAATACTTATTTTATATACTATTTATAAATTTGCCAAATGGATGCTATTGCTTCCACTCTTCAAAACAATACAAGAAACCAACTCCAATATAATTATAGAAAAAGATAACTTTTGTAACGCCCCAAATTCTAGGAAACTCGAAGCGTTAAAAATCTTCTTAAATTTAGCTCTTTACTTCAAACCAAAATATATTTCAAATACGGGAAATTTGAAGTTTGAAATATATAATAAAATATGATGGGAGATAATTTCCTATATAGACTTAGTCAATTACGGTAAAATTTGAATTTTGTAAAACATTCGGAAGAATCTCAGCAGTAACCATAGCGTAGCAGCGGAAAGATAAAAAATTATTTGACCTAGCAAACGTCGCCGAAAACTTATGAAATTTTAATAGAGACATTTTCATTCATGTAGGAACCACATATAAAAATTTTGGGTCTCGATGATAACATTTAAAGCACGAAAATATTTTTCAACGGAGTTGGACAGAAACTCGAAACTGTTCCGACGCAGCTTACTAAAACGGGCATAATTTTTTCTCTAGATAATATTTCGAAGAAATTCCAAAGGCCACTGTTAGAAGACTCGTAGATCTTTCACACCAAACTGATTTCCCTCAAAAACATGTACCACAGCCTAAGTTATACTATATTCAAATTGAAGGCAGAATCTGAAATTTCCAAAACAGAAACTAATTTAATTGCTTTTACAAAGTTAACACTTAAACAAGACACTAAAGTCATTGGTCCACTTTAATCCATGAAATAAACAAGTTAAAACATAATTTACATATAATAATAATCACTGCCATCCGCCATCACGCCTCCCGCCAAACTCGTCAATCTGAAATGTTTAATTAGGGTGAGCATTTCGAAGAAACACTCAGTAGTATGTACACATGCTAACGAGAATTATATACAAACATTTACATATCATGCAAAAGCCATACTTCATAGTAAATCGGTGATCAATCGACATACTTTTCTTCTAGTGATTACCTTCAATCACAAAATAATTTACATAGTGATTACCTTCAATCACAAATATTCATAGTCATAGTGATTACCTTCAATCACAACATAATTCATAGAGCAATTACGGTTACGTACATGCTAGTATATAAATTTCTCAAAAGCAAAATCAACTTGTGTACGGGAGATGATACTACCTTAAGATCTTTAGAAAAATTGCTAGAGTTGAGTCGTAGATGAAATTTTCAATTAGCACTGTCACCAAAAATCAGCAAGCTTGTCTTTGCTCTTCTTCAAGTGTATATATGGAAATGGTTGTGCACGTGTGTATGAGAAGTAAAAAAAATAGAATGAGAAGACTTATTCCTTGTCACAAAAGCCAAAATTGCCAATTTGCAAAGGTGAGTTGAATGTTGTGTGTATAAATGATGGCTCCAGTTTGTGCAAGTTAATATCCGGTCTCCAGGCAGTTGACAAACAATATCCAAAGGATAAAGTGGTGGGGTGGTTATGAATTTTCAAAATGTTATCCTAATAGGAACGTGCCAATCCAAAACCAAATGTGTGTGTATATATTTATATATATTGGTAGTTAAAAATGAAAATGGTGGTTAATATGTTAAGTGGGTAGTTATTGAACTTCGAGGATGGTAAAAAAAAAGAATGAAATATTTTATTTTGAAGCAAATCTCAAATATTGTTTAATAAAAAAAAATTTTGGATTGAGTAGTATGTAGTTGCCAAATTAAATCGTCGTCACTTTAAAATAAATAAACTAAATCATGGTTTTTAAAAAAAACTGAAAATAACCGATCAAATTAATATAACATGGGTTTTCAAAATAATGGGACTAAGCTAAGATAATTAGATCGTCATGTATAAAAAGGATTCTATGCAACATACTATGGTGACCAAATGAATAACTTAAAAATATTAGAGGTATCGTAGCGACGCGACAAGTTAATTAAATTCTTCGATCTTTTAAGCAAAAATTTTCTTTGTAAGAGTTAGAAATTTTCGGTCGCTACAACTTTTACAAGAATTATTGACAAATGTTTATGTTTCTTTGTAAGATTTGCTCTTAGAATCTTTGGGAATTATTTATAAACGATTTAAATTATATATAGATAGAAATGCAGAATGAATAAATGGATAGTAATTGTGAATCTTCTAAAATTTGTGGATAAAATATGATTTGAACATTTTGAAATAGTTTATAAATATGAGCCAAATGTAGAAGTCAATGGTGGATGTGTGAACAATAGTATAATTATTTTATTAATTTTTAATTTTTTTTAAGAGAAATAGAAGGATTGAAGAGAATATTCCTACCTATATAGATTAAATCAATAGTTCCATCTATGGCATGCATTTTTTTTATTTGAAACTACCTTGAACCAATAGAATCTCTTGTTTGGGTGAATTCCAATTGAAATTGATTCAATATTGGGTCTTAGAATGAAAAATCTCGATTAAAATTGAAATCGATTCAATTCTGAATTTTAGAATGAAAAATCGAAAGTCTCTTATCAGGTTCTAGTTACAAAACTAATTTTTATTTTGTTTAAAAAACATTTTTTTTATAACCTCTCAATAAAATCTTAAAGTGTGTTTGGTGAGGATTAAAATTAGATTTCTGGTAGATTGTGATAGAAGTTTTTGAAATGTGTGGTTGAAAAGTTGTGGAACCCATGAAAAATGTGGTTAATATTAATTGTTTGACTTTAATTTGGATTAAAATCAGATTTTAATACGGATCAAATAGGGGCTTTATATATCTAACTTGATACTAGAAAATTGAGAGTTTTGTCGTTTATAATACAAAGAGTGAAAGTGAATTAAAAAAAAAACAATTATGCAAACGTTTACACTTCCCAATGCATTTTTCTTTGTAATATAAAAGATTGAATCTGACCAAATGGTTTTATGGAAAAAAAAATACAACTAGATCAAATCATAATTTAACGAGATATCAGGAAAAAAAACAAAATTTGAACGAGGACTCAATTACTTCAAGAGGTTGAATTGTGAGGACCGTAAATGTAAATGTTCCTTTGAAAAAGAATTGGATTGAAGAACTCAGAGTGTGTTTGAACTATTTTGAAATAGTAGATTGATGGAGAATGTGTGGTTGAAAAATAGTAAACGTTATTGATATGATGAAAAATTTTATTTTATTAAAAAATATATGATTGAAAATAATTGGAAGAACAAGAATGAAGATTTAGGTCTTGTTTGAGTAATTTTTTTATAAAATGAGAATGAAATATATAGTCGACCCACTGCCCATGCAAGAAATAAAAAATTTATGCTAGGTGGTTCAAACTTTAAATAGATATGAATATACATACATATTACAGAAGAGAATCATATCATAGAATAAATAGAAGATTGGAGATCGAAAATCCGCAGGAAATCGCGCCGCCGTGTATCTGTATAATTATACTCTGTAATGCCCTAAATCGCTCGGCCTCTCGAATGTTGAAGCCCAGTAGGACTCTATTTCTACTCCCGTGTGCTGTTCAATCTCTTGAGGTATTTGGATTCTCCTTATATTTCCTGATGTAATGTACGAGGATATTATGGATTTCGTTCAATTCAGCACGTGGCGGTCTATCCGCTTTTTACGGGTTTAGTTTTGTAATTTATGTAATTCGTAAGAGTATTTACGGAATTTCACTGCTTCAGTACTCTATATAAAGACGTTTGATCTAGGGTTTGTTGCGTATAACAAACGCAGCCTCCTTTTCTCTATCTTCTCGTGCATCATCTTCTTCTTTGATCTGTCAAAGTTTAGAATTGAGACAAAACAAAATTTTGCAAGTTCAAAGGTGTTGAACCCTGTGCTTTCTTATTCGTTCGTTTGAAGGTTCTATCTTATCTAGTATATTTGGATCTTTGTGCCTGGATTAGTGGAGGCCTCCAGTTCAAAGGTGTAGTCAAAGATCTTTGTGCCTCCATCTATGGAGGCCTATGGTCATAAGAGTGACATGATTTCAGAGCACTTTAGAAGTTGGAGGAGTTACCAAAATTAACAGCTTGTTTGTCTACCATTAAGGGGAGGAAAATGGTGTAATGAATAGTATTTTTTGGAGAATGTGTAGTTGAAATTTAAAGTAACTTTATTGATTTATGTGTTGAATAGTTTATTGGGTGAATATGTGGTGGAGATTGTTTACTGTAGAAAACAATTTTTGGGAAAATGGTAGACAAACATGGGCTAATTTGACTTATATTTTTGTAGATCTAACAATGAATAGAGTCAATTCAAAGGACTAATTCCAAACTTATTGGGAATAAACTCTTTTAAATCTCGTAGTAATGAATTGAATGAATTAACAAATAATACATATAATTTTATTAGAACATTTTCTTTTTATACTTAGGGTAGTGCTCCTCATATCTAGGTTGATTTCTTATTATTTTCGTTTGAGATCTTAGGGTGTTCCTTTGGTTGAAGGTCATTTAAGTTTGTGATTTTGAAATGTAAGCGGCATAGATGCATGTGTTGACTAATAAACACTTATCATCCTGTTTGAGCCCCATTTTTTTTTTTTTTGTCAAAATGCATTTTGGAATAGTATTTATCAGATAATGTGGGTTTAAAAAATAAAAAAAAGTTCTAAGTTCGTGTGAAATTATTTTATGGGATAATATGCAGTTGAAATTGAGTTTTGAAAAAATGAGTTTTTGAAAAAATGGGGGTCAGACAGGCTATATATGTTTGTGGAATGCTATGTCTTGTTGCTTTGGTAATCTTTACCTTGTGATAATGTGTGTATAACATATTGTATTTTGTTTTTGGTGGATGTAGGTAAGAGTGATATTATTAAAGCATTATGGTTAATAAAATGAGTTTACCTTTCAAAGTTGGAGAAGAAGCCGAGGCGAAAACATTTGAGACGGGTTATCGTGGTGCATGGTTTCGATGCAAGGTATTATTAAATGTGAAGTCTATAAGTATGCTTAGGAAATATATCTAATATTTAATCTAGCAATGTTTGCTTTGAACATGATTATAGGCATGGTTATCATACTCGCCCTTGTTATGACTTGGTTTAGCCCTCGGGTGCAATGACCAGGTTTAAGCACTGGGTGAGTGGGTGGCTTACCTAGTTAATAAGTGGTTCATCATTGGAATCGAAAGTCTAAATAAACATATTTTCCAAATAAATATAAATAAATTTCTCTCTCTCTCTCTATATATATATATATATTTTTTTTTCAAACACTAGTAACATTTTTTTTAATATATTCATTTTTATTAGTGGTTGAATTGATCATTTGAGGAAGAATTCGGCTAAAATAAAAATTTAAGATAATTCTTGGAAAATCAATCTTCCATTGAAGATAACTAAAGGAAATGCTTTCAAAACAATTCTCGTTCTTACTAGTTCAACATTTTTGGAGAGATCTCTATTAATTTTGATCACCCTCTTGGTTAGATTGTCCTGCACGAGGGCTTACTTTGAGAAACTTTAGAAACAGCAGATGGATATGCATCAGTAGTTGTTTATTGTTTTTAGCTTGCTTATTTTGAACCTCTCCAAATAACAATGTAGTTTTCAACAAACATCAACTATGTCGTGGCAGTAGGTATATGGTCAGTAGAAGGGGCTGAAGTAGTTGTCCACGAGTAATTCTTGTGGAAAGGCAAAATGAATCCTCATAGATGACCTCAGCCCCCATAGAAATTTTCCTTTGTACTTCATGATGGACTAGCTCTTTTAGACTTGGCACGAAAGGTAGCCAAAACACAACTACTAACTTGATCCAAGCTATGGTAAAAACTTGCAAGACATATATACCACATCATTAAATTTGTTACGCTTCTCAATATTGGCTGCACAAGTCATATTAATAGGTTATAGATAATCTAGTTTCATGAATATGGAGCAAAATTCATTGTAGTATTTAGCAAGAGGCTGATCATCTTGACTTAATTGGAAATTCATCTATTCATATACTGTGAAGAATTATAAACATCAAGATAGTTCTTTATTATTCTATCCCTAACTTCTTAAGCCCTGCTACACTTAAGAAAATGTGACATTTGGTTGTTAGTCGAGCTAAGACTGGACTAAAGCATCTTCAATCTCCCATTCATGATAGCCTAGATCCTTCTCGTCAATGTCGCCTTTTGTCTTGAAATAGTCTTTTTTTCTTTTTACCCATAATATTATTTATTCTAGAATTTTAGACCATACATGATAATTAACCCATCTAATTTAATATGAATAGCTGGGGTAGTGTAGCGAATAGTTAAAGAAGGGCCTTCTTGTTTTCAGAAGAGTTCGTAATAGTTTTATGACTTGTTGTGGTACCTATGTTTTGAATTATTTACCAACACAATGAAAGACCTTTATCAAACCCGTAGGGCTAACAGATGGCCGAGTCTACCAAGAGCAAGGGTTGCACTACTTTCAGAAGGGTCGGTGGAGGGTAGTAAGAATAATAGAAGGGTCGCCCCACGGGCATGGTGCATTGATAAAGCAGAAGGGTTCTTTATGGAGTATCGGAGGTTTGAATCCCCGCGGTAGCTGGAAGGCAACATATGTGTTGGAAGGCAGATGTCCTGTGGTGGCAAAGTTATGGTGCGCTTTATCGTTCCTTCGGGGGTCCTGTCCGCACGTCGTAAAGGAAGGTCCACCTGGAGGAGAACTGCTTCCCCGAATGTCCGACCCAAGTGTGTTAGCTGTGACCACATCCGGATTTACTTGGGTGGCGAACCAGGGGGAAGGCCTCCACTTCCTAGGATTAGTCGGGTGAAGTTCGGACATCTGAGTCATCAAAAAAATAATAATAGTAGAAGGGTCGTACTAAATTCGTACTAGATGGCTATGTCGACTAAGATGATGGATCGCGCAACTCTGAGAAGGCAGCAAGAGGGTTGCGACATGATAAAACTTGCTACAAATTGAAACTACAGGGATTGAAATTAACCATTCACGAAGTCCATGGACTAATAAATGAGATTCTGAATTGCAAAATTTTGAAACCTCATTGACCAACTTACATAATTAGATAACTTTAGATACTAACTTACATAAAAAAAGATTAAGGACCTTGCATACACCATAGAAGCTTGATTAACGAGTAGCAAAAGGGTAGGATCGATGAGTTGGAGTGTTATGTAGAAAGCTATGGCACTGAAAAGGATGACAAAATTTGTGGGCCCCATCTCAAATGGGGTCGAGATTTCTGTCTTGATAAAGCACAAGAGGCGGGGACGGAGAAAGAGCAGGGGTCGTCTCGAGACAAAGGCAGTGCAGGTATGGGGAACATGGTACTGTCTTGTTACCTCCCCACTTTAATAGGGTATGGGGGCGAGACAAGGAGACATATACCTAACGAGATCGGGACAAAGATAGGGATAAGGACAGGGACAGGGATGGGAATGGTTGTCGGATCCTGACCAGCCCCGTAGCCATTCCTGGACTGTGTAGGTTTTTCCCCTGTAAGGTTAGGGTTCAATTAGAGTTTCTTTGATTTTAGAATTTTTTCATATTCTTGACAAAATTGAACCCATGTTTGCAATTTAGGGCTTAATTCGAAACTTAAGAGGCCTTAGTTTCCATGGGGGTAGAGAGTCGGTGGGGGTGAGATAGAGGGTCCAACCAAGGTTTTAGAGATATTGGTCAAAATTAAATTTATGGTTTGGAATTTTATGACTCAATTTGAAACCCTAATTTTAGAGGTACTGAATTTTGACATTTAAAGCTTTTATACTAACTTGCAATCTAGGATGCATGATTTTATTTGTAGTCAATCAACTTTATTTATAGTAGTACAATCGAACCTATGAAATGATACTTTCCTAACTATAGAAGGAAAAGAAAATGAAACATGATCCTAAACAATATTAATTCCTAGTTAAATATGAATATAAATAAGTTAAAATGGATTTCTTATTTATAATCGGACTTCTATTCCAACTCTATTCATCGATAATTAGCTCAGCATCGTAATTGTTACCACCCAAATTTAAATGTCTTTCAAACCCTTCATCTACTTTAAGGTGAAAAATAGGTGCATCATCATAATCTTCATTTTGAATCAACATTTATTTGCTTCCTAAGATTGTAAAAGGTAAAAATATTATCGTCCTCGTCGAAATTTGGAGGATATCAAGGAAAATATGAATCAACATCCATTTGCTTCTTAAGAAACTCATCTAGGTAGATTTTTATCGATAATTTAGAGGATGTAATCTGGAATCCCAACAATGATGTCACCACCACAACTGCTGGCCACCACCCCATTGACGACTTCATGTTACCATTGCTAAAAGGGGACGGATGGAACCTTCTCATGATTTTACCAAGAAAATAGAGCACTTGTGATGTTGCTACGGATGACATGATACAGAAAGATCACGTAATTGGGAGACTTATCGACTTGTTGACATGGAGCTTAGATAATTAGGCATAGTTGGGAGGAGACACTTAGTACGAGGTGAGCAAATAAGATGACAAACATTTGCCACTTTTAGCTAACAAGTGATTATAGTGTAGCCGTACCTGCATCTATTCAGCCGCTCTGCTTTGGATTTCAAATTTCTTTCCCGATGAATTTGTTCATGTAATGGTGATACTTCTTTTGACGACGGTGTATTTAATGTCAACCATATGGTTATATGAGATGTGAGAATCGTGCATGGCAAAGGGCCAAAGGCAATGGATTACATAGCCAAGCAAGACCATCGAAGGTTGATGCCTAGACAAATTCGAACAACAATCTCATTAAGAAACAATCTCTATAATGATAGAGATCTTGAGAAAGTAGCAAAAAGTAGTAAATAAAATAGATAAATAAAGTAGCAAATAATATAAAAATAGCCCAAAAAGCTAAAGCTATTAATAAAATGCATACAAAATGTAAGAAATTATCAAAAACTTTAGTTTCCCATGAGGCTTAGTCTTGAGCCGTAAACCTCACTAAAATGGGGCATGAGCTTTATTAAACATTGTAGGACTATAAGCATATCGAAGGAAATCCATGTTGTTGAAAGATGCCTATAACGTAGAAAACCAATTATTAAAATAACTGTTAGATCATTTATACTTTTGGTACTAGACGTTTAATTCATATTTGGACCACCAAGAAATAATTATCGGGATCGTTAGATTTCCACATGACTGCTCTCCCATCTTAACAAAATAAGCTTTGCTTGCAGGTGTTTCCATCTCATTAATTTATGATTACAAGTGTAGTACAATACATTAATTCTTAATTTGGATGTCCAGGGCCGACCTTGAGAATTTTGAGGCCCTAAGCAACAAAATTTTTATGAGGCTCTTAAACATAATTTTTTTACAAGTGAAAAAATGACATATTTATATTTTAAACAAAAACATTGTGCAATTCAAAAGATAAAAAAAATAACATATTTAGATTTTAAACGAAAACTTTGTACAATTCAAAAGATAGAGTAGCAAAATAAAAAATCTCTTAAAATTCGAGATATTTGGGTAGCATAACATTTAGTAAAATTATCTTGTTGATGGAGAAAATACTATTGGAGTGTAAATAATAATTTTCAGGGATTATTAATTGGGAAAACTAGAGTAAGGTGCAATTTAGGGGATTCTAGGAAGTTTAAGGACTAAAGTGAAAATCATGAGATCTTGAGGGAATAAAGTGAAAATAAGTTTCAACATCAATAATGTATTTAAGCCAATTGCGTATTTATTGGAGATTGAAAATTACCTTATAAATATTGGACTTATTTTGAAACTCGTGTTAAATGGAACATTATGGACTCGAGAAAAGGTTAATTTGAATAAAACAAATTCGAGTTATAATCTATTAAAGTAAACTATTTGGATAATGCTAGTTTTCAAATTGGACCATATTGTTATAGCAATATTGAGCTCATTTGATAGTTATAATTAATTGTGTATATTAAGCTCGAGAAAATATGTTTTTGGATAAGTTGGAATGAAGTTAGAATTGATCAAAGAAAATGATGGTCAAATGAAAATTTTAGAAAATAATCCATTATATTAGTAATTAGACCTACTTAATATGTATTTTTTTTCTTTTAGAGCCTTTTAACTTTGGAGGCCTTTGTCTAGTTGGCTTGGGCCTAAGTCGACCCTGTGCACGTCACTGTTCACTAGGTTTCACAAACGCGCACACACAACAACATGATACGATATCGACACATGATTTTTTAGAAAAAGGATACAACGAAAACATGGTTTTATAATTTTAATTATTTTTGTAGAGTTTAAAATGTGAAAATAATGGCATTTAATACAATTTTTTTGTGAGATGTTGAATTTTTATTTAAGACTAACTCTGTTAGTAGACTTAGGATTCTACTATTAACCAATCGCCGGCGATCGGTTGTGGTTTCTACTCGTAAACCAATTTTCGTTGTCTTCTACCTCTCTTTCGTCGCCCATCGCGATTTAAGTCTAGCTTTTCTTTTCACATGAATTTCTCCTTCCCTCTTCCTATTTCGCCTGTTTAGAGTTGGAGTGCCAATATGTGTCGGAGCGTGTTGATTCTCTTCTGCGTCTTTTCCTTCGACTTCTCTTCCATCAATGGCTTCCATCTTCATGCCGTTTGCTCTTTTAATTTGACCAATCCGAGCTGGATCCCATACCTGTGTCGTGTCATGTCGAGATAGATACTTCTTACATTTTGGAGAGATCGTGTATCAGAGATTACAAAGTTGACTTAAGTTTGTGATAGGTACCCGCACTTGTTAATCAAGCCTAGATTTTACATGCATAAATTATCATTCTACTTCTCACAATAGAAAGGAATCTTCCTTTAGACATCAATGCAGTTGCGGAAAAGAATTATAATGATACCTAACAAGAAATGTCAATGTGAGCTGATCTTATTTCTTTACCAATCTTGGAAGTTTATCTTTGTAAAATCTACCAGCGATTTAACAAAACAATGGAAAAGTTATTTTAACCAAATTCCGTTTACCTTTCTCTGAACTTCTGTGTTTATTTATCTAATCGTTTCTTGATTTCTTGATTAGTTGCATATAATAAAGTGCTGAAATATTTTGCTAACTTCTTTTGGAGTGGTAATCTTGCAAAGATGCAAAATAGTATTAATATCTTCTCTCTCTCTTTTTGATCAGATAAGAGAGATCAGTTGGAGAAAGGGAGAGAGAGAATATCTCTTAGAATATTTCGACTTTCCAGAAGAAAGTAAGTTAGTTGTATGTCTTCTAGTAAATGTCATCTTTGGCTTGTGGGTGATGATTTAGCTTCCATAAACTAATGCTTAAATATTTGCATAAATTGGTAGTAGATTCTGTGGAATTCTACTTGAATAAATCACTAAATATTTCTTATGTTTGGACTTCACAGTCAATGGTAAATGAACTTCTGATCTGAATAGTGCATCAAGTGTGCGTGTTTTTCTATAACATATGAGATGAATAAAGAGATTTTTTACTTAGCAAGCGTTACGAGTAGGTGACTAATAATTTTCTTTCATCAGAAGATGCAGAAAGAAAGCTCCTTTGCTTAGAAGCACTTGGAACAACTATACATACTAGAATTGGAGTTTTTGACATTAGACAAAAGTGCTTATGTTTTAAACGCATGGATCCAGTACAATGATGATTTAGTCACCTTAAGATAAGAAATAATAACCTAGCAGTTTGTTTCATTATGGTTATGAAAGATATACAGTGGAAAAATGTAGAGACCATGGCTGACAATGCTGACATTTGTAGTGTAGCTAATAATTTCCTTTTGGGAATGGTAGATTTTGCTGTCTCTTGTGTTGAATGTATTGGAAACCTGGGTTTTGAGCTATGCCAGGCAGGAAGCGATGCATAGAACTAATCCGTAAAACTTGTATAAAGTATAGAATGGAGATGTCTAAAGTGAGAACCTTTTCCTGGGCCTATATTTTGAAAGGAAAAATTGTCCTACTTTTTCATCATGTATTTTATTTGTGTAGGTGGGATGGGAAATTGGAGATTATCATTTCCTTGAAACTATAGTTGCTTGTGACCTGACCATGATTCTTCTTAGTTCTTTAATTGCTTTATATCTTTTTGTTGTCATGTGGTAAAATCCTTTGAAGCAAAGTGATGTTTGAAACAAAGGATGACAGTATGACAAAACTGAAGACTGATTCATCTACTTCTTCACTATTCATTATAATATATCTTGCAGTTTTTTTCATGATTATTTGTAAAATTATAACGTTAGATGTTCTTGGATTGCCCACTTCCCACTTCCTCAATTCTTTTTATGTCAGTCTGTTATGTTTAGCTATCCTGAAATTGTTTGCATATATGTGCTAGCTGAAAATTTCTAGTAATAGATATTTATGAAATACAATTGCTTCGTAGGTTAAAGTTTTCTGGTTTTTAATGTTGATGAATAGTCGATAGCACCCATGTCATTCATACGAGATCAACCTATACAAACCTCTTTATATATTTGTTAAAAAATTCTACTCCACCTTTCCAGAATAGAACGATATTATTTGACTTGGCACAAAAGTTCTGGCGATATTTGGAGAAGTAAGTTATTTGATAAACTTTTTATTTTCTGTCAAATTAGAGGTCAAGATTATTTGTGAATCCCTTTGTGTACTTTTGGAAAGGATCTATTTTAAGGGGTGAGACATTATCTCTTGACCCGAAAAGGTAATGGAATCACTAAATCCAGGATGGCAGGAGCATTGTTTCATGTTTTCGTGCTCAAGAATTTTAATGTTTTCAATTCATGAAGCCACATGTGAGTATGTCAAAAGCGGAACCTGATTCTCACTCACTTATCGTTTGGCACTATGTACAGATATTATATGATGAATATTGTTTATAATTAGGAGTTCTGTGGTTTGAAGATGACTAAAAGTTTATTATCTTTTATTTTAACAGTTGCAATCTTGACTGCAGCGTCACTGTTTGAATAGAAATTTCTATTTAATTGTTGATTCTGTTGCATGTCTACAGAGTTAGGGCTGATGAATCCATATCAGTTCCCTGCTTCTTACCGAGGGATGGCGAAAAAGAAACAAAGAATGTTGATGGTACGACCACCCTACCCGCCTATGTATCATGAAAACGAAATGCCTTGTGCCAGTGATATTTCAGAAGTGGCGGTAATTGTTAATGATGCTTGGAAGGTGGGGGATTTGGTTGAATGGTGGACGAATGATTGCTACTGGTCTGGAAGAATAAAACAGTTAGTAGGTGAAGATAAGGCCATGGTAATAATTTCAACTGGTTTTCTCTTCTGCATTTGACTGTAGAAATTGATAACTTCCTTGTCTTGTGAGTAATTAACATTTAGTTTCAGACGAAGTGCAAACTTGAACAAGATTAAGCTTGGCCATAAGAAAGCTTTATTTCTTTCTAGAATTGGTAGCAGTATATACCAGGTTGTATGTATATGATACTAACACATATACACCCATCATGACCTCTATTGCCAGAATAACTACTCTCACAATCTATCTAAACGGCCAGACAAACTCCAGTATTTTCTTCTGCTGATCCCTCAACTCTTGGCCAATATTGCTTTTACCTTTGTTTCCTTTCTTTTGGTTTGGTCTAACTTGAGTGTCCGAGAAACAGTAGTTTGTTTACCTATTACAAAGTAAGAGATGTGTCTCCATCTGCGAAGAAAATAACTTCATAAATTGCCATTCTCTGTCACCAAGGATAGTTCCTGTCTATCTTGATGAGTGTCAATCTCTTTTACTATAACTTTCTTTTCAGTTTGTATCCTTTTCTCATGTTCAAGGCATTATAGTGGTTAATGTTGATGGACTTTACAAGTCCAAGATAGTTTTGGTGGGATTAAGATCATCATCCGCGTGTTCTCATGTACACTTAGTCACAGTTTTGTCATCAGATAGATATTATTATACTGAAAATATATAATGGTGTAACCTCGCGAAGAGGTATTTGAAAAGATCATTTAATTAGAGGGAAGGACACAATTGGGAAGATGATAAATATTTAAGGGGGTTTCCTAAACTAGGATTCAATGGATTTTAAAAGTTAAATGAATTTCTTGAATTTAGATAGATTTTCACAAAATCCATAAAAATCATATTAAAAATGGTGAAATTTTAAAGAGTTTGTATGCGTATTTTTTAGCTTGAAACCCATCCAAATCTCTTGAAATCCCTTTATTAATGAAATTTTTATAAATTCACTAAGTTATTGGGACACCCAGATTTTAGTGGATTTTAATAAAATCTAGCCCTTGTTTGACACTCATTTTGGAGAAGAATTTGATTTGGAATAGTGATTGATGGAAGAATGTGTGGTGAAAAAGTAAATTTTTGGGCTTATGTATTATTTTATTGATAGAATGTGGGGTTGAAATGAAGAAAGAGAAAAAAAATGGATGTCAAACAAACTACTAGTAAAATCTTAGTTGGGGATACCTATATTTTAATGTATGTTAATAGAATCTATTAAAATTTCAATTGAGGACACCTAAATTTAAAGGACTTCTAAAATATATTAAAATTCCAGTTGAGGACACCTCCTTAGTTTCAATTTTGCGCATAGTATTTGATTAAACTCGGTGCTAGGTCCAATTGCTTGTCTAATCTTTTTTGTATAGAGAATTCATTACCTGTTTGATTGTTACCAACTAATTCAGCGAGTTTCAATAGTCAATTTTACATTTGAATGGACTCTGTGCATCACATTTCGCTTGGTACAAGTCTTCAAATTGAAATGTTACCTACTAATTCCTCAAAAGTTCCTCTTTAGTATTTGAAAGTGAATGATATCAAATAGCATATTGTCTTGGAAAATTCTAGTAGAATTTTCAGCTATTATGTAACTCCACTATCTCATGCTCTTGTGACTTTTCCTTCTCCAACCCCTCAGCCCCTGCGCGCAGAACAACCCTGATGATAAAAAATGTTATTCTTATTTGCATTTTTTGTTTCTTTAGATTGAGTTTCCAAAACCACCTTTGGGTGAAGGCACACCTGATGAAAAAGCTTCTCTCAAGGATCTGCGCCCTTCTTTGGACTGGTCTCCAGAATATGGTTGGATTCTGCCTACTCCGGTTACTATCTTTACTCTTCTAAATGCGTAGTTTGTGTAGATTTTATCTGATTTATTTCTGTTAATGATAATTTTGTTTTATCTTGATACTTCTATTCATAAATCTTGTATAAATATAATTTGTATGCCTATCACCATAGAGCCTATATTATCTATTGAAGCTAATCGGGCACAGGATACCCTTGGCGTGCATATGATGTACAAGCATCTCTTGTGCTCTTACTTCTGAACCGTTTTGCTAAGAAAAAGGAAATTAATCAATAGAAGTTAAAGTTTGCCCTTTCTGTAACTTTATTGTGTGTTAAGAGGGAAGCATGCTGGTTTCTTTTATTCATTTTTAATTCTTGAGTCCAGGGATCAACAGTTTGTTTTGACTTAAATTTCGCGTAGCTGACTGATAAAACAATGTAGGTGCAAGAAAAGAAGATGTTCTATAATTTAGATTGTGTGATATTTCCAATAACATCATGTTGAGGAATAATTATAATTAGTTCAAATATTGCATTTTCATCTTATTATCTCATTCCATATGACATATAAATGACTGCTGATGTACGTTCTATTATTTCCCCATATATTTGCTTCCTTTACATTCTTCATTTATAATGCTACTGATGTCTTTACAAAGTGAAAGTGGTCTTATGAAAAAACCTGTAGTTGTTACTTCAACCATTGTTCTGATGTTTCTGTTTCATTCTGGTTTCTTCTTGTAACATGACAAGAAAATTTAATAGATTGTTGTGAAAAGATGGTTCCTTGATTTTCTCCTTAAAATCTATTTAGATATTCTCTTGTATTAAGTTTTTGCTTTACAACTTAATTTTCACCCTTAAACTTACAGAATTGTTAAATTGATGCTTGATGGTCTGGAAACAGACAGGAAAACTTGAAGTGCCATTTGATGTTTTTTAAAATCCTAGGATCCAGTCTTCTATACCTCATGTAAAGTAATTTTTTTAGATTGAGAATGAACAAATCTCCATTTGCATTCAATATGATCCTACAAGTCTCAGACTTATGGATTCTTTTAGTCTAGTTCTGGCCATGTACTTGTGAATTGATGACCTCTGACATAGTTGATTTTTTTTATTACTTCTGTTTGAATTAATTTCTTAAATCCGCGAGTTCTGCATTTTTTGTGCTTTTCGACCTTTTAGACAAATTCAATTTTTTTTTCCAGAACATATTTCATACTTCTTGTGTCTAGGCATCGTATGCTCCATCTCAGACTATGTAGAATATTTATCCAATGTTATGCTTCATTGCAGGGAGGTGAAAAACCTGGTCGCCCTTGGGCTCGGCTTATCAAACCTGGAGATCAGGGTAAGATCAATATTAAATGAAGTATCTAGAACCAAGTTATTCAAGGATAATATGGAGCCATGTGTTCAAAGTTTTCCAGAATGTGCCAAGGGAGGCTTACAAGCTGTATACCTAGTCTTTGTCAGTTATTATGTTTGGTACCCTACCTCGGGTGTGCAATAATATTCTGTAGCTTTAGGTGGCAACATTTTGGTTGAACCTTTTGCCTAAAATATTAATAGAATAGAAAAACAATTCTCTAAAATACTGCCCAGCGTGAACTACTTAGGAACATGACCTTTCATAGAAAAAAGTAAATTATCTAAATATGTTTGGTTTTGAAAAGTTACTTAAAAGTAACCCCTACTTTTTAATCTTAGCCAAACATGTTCTTCTTTGCTGAGCTTGATGAAATTTATCTTTAGGATGCCTGGTGCACATTTGAAATTCTCATGAGCAGCATAACCCAGAAGGAAAAAACTGGCCACCACCTTGACAGCCCATTACTTGTGGAAAGAAATCAGATAGTTGTTATACCACTAGTCAATGTTATGGTCAACCCATTGATTGTTGACCCCTCTGCTAATTATATAAAACTACTAGGTGACAAACTTGTTATTTATTTGTCTTTAACTTGAACTATTCCTTCTATTCTTCCAGTATTCTGCTTTTTGTAAGTGGAAATTCCCTCTTCAGTTATTCCAATGATTAGGTTTCATTTCAGATATGAACTTGATTTGCTTGACATTCAAATTTTGGATACCCAATAAACAGGTCAAGTATTAGAGGCCGGTGAAAAGAAAGCTGGATCGTCACCCAATGAATCCTTCTCTTCTCATACTTCACTCATAACTTTAGCAGCTCCAGATGAATTGAAGGGAAACGAAACAGGGGGGTTACATGAACTATCTTTGGGAAACACAGTTTTGAAAGAGCTGGACACTCAAGAAACAAATATTGCCTTAGATGGTGGGGACAGTAGTACAAGGAAAACATGTTTGTTGGATACTGATTCTAGTTCACGTATGAGAGAGACTCTAGCTGAACCTACGACTGAAGCTGCCGAGGGGGACCCGTATTGTTCCAGTTGTCCCTTGAAGAAGTACCCGGCTAGCGGAGGGATGACTTCAAATTCTATGGGCTCCAACACATTGGAATCAGCTATATTGGACTTGGAGGAACTCGTGAGCAAAGTTAAATGGCTCAAGTCAATTTTAAATAACGGGATTCCTTCGTTAGATGCTGCAAGGCCTCAATGGAAAGTTATGGAACACGTTGCTTCCTCATCCATGCCAAATTAAGTGCTTTTGAAATGTAAGATTTCATGCCTCTAGTTTTAGAGTAATGCTATTTAGAACCAATAGTATTAAAATACCATTTTAGGTGGCACTAATGTGGCATTAAATGAGAGGTATAATTAAATGAATAATTTAATTTTACCTTTCATTGAGTCTATTACCTAGCGTCACCAAAATTGGTGTTGTAGCGCCAGTGATAGATAGATAACATTATTCCTAGTTTTATAAGCTAATTGAAGAAAATGCAGGATCATGCCAGTGTAATCATGATAGTCCAATTGAGATTGTTAAAGTTTTAATTTAAAATCTGAATAACTAATCAAAGCTCTTTTGTCTATGTAACCTATCATGTTCCAAGTAGAATCATGAATATAACAAGTGATTGGCAACTCTCTAGTTCTGAACTGAATGTAGGTTATGGGAAATTGAAAATATATTTGGGAAAAATAGGGTTGAAATGGAGTTTGTGATGATGGACGATTGCATCGAACAATAGAACCTTCAGAGAAGAGAGGAATTAAACCTATAATTGTCTAAAACTAAAATACAATAATTTGAAACAACATAACTCAAAACTTGGATAGTTTTCAATTGAATATTAATTAGATCTCCATCATTCTCCCTAATTGTGAGAATTCCATAACTCAAAACTGAGATAGTTTTCAACTGAATATTAATTAGGATCTCCATCATTCTCCCAGATTGTGAGAATTCGATTATGGCGAAATAGTTCGCAACAGATAGCTTGCAATCTTTTTATCGATGTTGGCTAGAGGTGTCAAGACGGACGGGCCGGCCAGACCCTTGAAAATCGGTCTGGATTGACCCGGGACCACTGGCCGACCCGTGACCCGAGCGGGCGGTTCACGGGTCAAGGAGGTGTGACCCGCGGGTTGCACCTTCACGGGCCGCGGTTAATCCGCTGGCCCGTGAAAAAAAATTTTTAATTTGAAAAAAAAAAGGGAGCCCTAGCTAGTTGGGATATACTTGAACTATAAATTATAATAAAAGTAGGTGTCAATCTAGTTGG